TAAGTCAGTTTATTGGTTTTTAAATTTTGGACTGAATTCGTGGAGCTGTACACAGAGTTTTGTGCCTACCCCAGGGCTCTTCTGAGCTTCCTTTTCCTGAATGAGGCTTTCATGCATCCTATTCTAGCCTCCAGTAAGGATTTCTTTTCTAATGAAGTACAAAACTTCAACAGTCAGTAGATTATATTGACATACAAACATAACTTTGAATTGTTTTTTTTTATACAGCATTTATATATAAAGGACAGTTTGCAACTGAGTTAAGTATAAACAATAGTGCTTCCTGATATTTTGGATGACCATTATTCCTAAACATTGACCATGCTACTAGCTGCAGCTCCTGGAATTGTTTGAAACATCTGGAGGACCAAGTTAGATCTCTGTTACCTCATAATGGATAATAACAATAATAAGACACAAATACAGAGTCTAGGCTTTCTTTAGTCATAGCTGCTTTGTATTATAGACATTGTAAACTGGTACTTCTCTTCCAATAAACTGCAAAGTAAGCATACCATTTTTTATACCAAAAAGTATAGAAATATATTCCTTTTAAAGTCAAAATGCTTTTCAGTATAATTGCAGATATGCAATTATAAGCACTGTTTTATTTATCTAAATACATGAGAGAATAGAAACTCAGTGTATTGCTCTAGTATTACTGAGTATTGATATTCAGTTCTATTCACTGAATAAATTTAATGTAATTCAGTATGTAATTGGAATAGTTCTCCCTATTTTCTTTTTGTAATTCTATTTCAAAACAAAATTAAGAGGTACGTTTCTTTTCAGGCACAGAGTTCAAGATAATGTGATATAATGAGGCATTAGGGCATTCTATTTGTGCTTTGATGCTTCAAAGCATTACATTCAAGTTTGATAAATAAGGAAATAAACATTAAAAGTTTCTGTCTCATTTTGCTCATAATTTAAATGTACCTTGAGCAATGAATTGTTAGCAATGCCATTTATTTTGAAATTTAAAGAAGTGTATACTTAAATGCAGCGTATCCGTTGAAATCAGGGTGAGCCAAACAGTTGATATTTTTTAACTATCAAAAATCTAATGTGAAAGGAAAAAGTACTGGTGTGTGTGTGTGTGTGTGTGTGTGTGTGTGTGTATTAATATAATTAACATTTCTTAATTCAAAGACTTAATATATTGCTCAGTTGTCTTTAAATTGGTTTCCACAGAAAGTAATTAAGGCCTGTAGGCTTAAATTGTATGTTGTGTTGTTGACATTTTAATTTCACTTTAAGTTGTCACAAGAGGTTTTCTGTAAACTTTACTTTTTATTTCTTTGCAGAAGGCACAGAGGCAAGATAATTGAAACCTTCAACTTCTTTAAAATTTGTTCTTCAGTTTAGGGCAATAAGCTATGAAGAGTTATGCTTTTTGATTAGTAGATACTAATGATGTATACTTCACCCTCAAAATATTGCTCTTACTCCCTTCAGCCTATCTTTGCTGACATGTCAACTAGAAACTTTTTTTAAAAAAAGTTATTATTAGATCAATAATGAATCCTTGACTGTTGTGTTCCACATATGTGTGAGTATTTATAGCCATTATTAGAATATTATTGAGTATGGAGCAAAAAATAAAACACAAGGAAATGCCCTTGTAATTCCACCAAACAAAAAAACTGACTGACTAATGCTTTTGAAAAATGAAAAGCTAACAATGAAAAAAAAGGTGAATGTTGTAAGATGACCGTTTTATCACCTGAAAATGGAATTCGGCTTTTCTGTCATACATACTCTCTACTTACAATATGATGCCAGATAGAATTAGCATTTTCAACAGTATCATTAATCCATCATGTAAAATCTTTATTCTGAGCTCTCAAAAAGTCCATGTTCTTCTTAGTGCTGAAGACAGATTCAAATTGTGATTAAATTATATATTAAATCTTTGCCCAAAGAGTAAAAAAAAATGCATCAGTTTTGCATATAGCTGTGTATGAACTAGTCAAGTTTGCCTGGTACTTCCAAGCATGTCATCATGAGTATTTGTCAAACCACAGACTTCATGGGTTCAACATTCTTTCCTCCTTTTTCCTTAATATCATTTCAGAAGAAGAGATTGAAAGTCAGAACAGCTCTTTCTTTATTAACCATGAAAGCATTAAAGCAACCATTAATAATTGAGAGCAACCCAAGACATTTTATTTGGTAATTTGGGCTGAATAATGGCTTAAATTTTAATGAAGGTCATGATTGTCTAGTCCTGTTTTGTAAAACCAGATGGTGTATTTTTTTAAAAACGTGTTTTATTAGCAGGTAGGTCTATTCACATTGAATCAGCTTCATAATATTTAATCACTTTATGCTTTCTATCAAAATACAAACAAGTCAGTTTTTCATTATGAGAACAGAATTGTATGCCTAAAAAGTTTATAAGCTAGTACTAAACACATGTTAACTCTGCAGTTTCTGTCATTGTTAGCAGAGATAACAAGGGATCAGAAACTGAATTAAGCAGCAGGTGACACAAAAACCAAAACCATGAATTACACATTAAAAGGAATGTTGAACTTTTCATCATGTGATCATTCTCATATCAGTCATATTGCCTATAAATGTGTGTTCCATTTTTGTTTCTAAAAATAGAAATAGTACAGAAAAATAATACCTATACATATAGCAGATCAAATTTAATTATTCCAGAAAAATATTCATGTATGACATTCCACCATGATTCCAATAGTTTTAGAAGGTGATAGTGCTCAATAGTTTGGCAATCTACGCATAACATTCATTTGTTTAAAAATTGTATTACTACAATTATTGCCATAAATCATTGCCATAAATCAGTATTTTGAACTCAGAAATATTTTAACCAATAAACTTTCCTTCAGTAAATCTCAGCATTTTTACAAGTAATTATTTCTATAGTAAGAGAAAATAATGAACTATACAAACTATACAACTATACATCAAAATCTTTTATGCGGCTAATGCAAAAAGTGATACAGTTATAAAATACTGTATAATGGAAAAATGGAAAATTATCTGTTATCTTAGAAGTATCATTTCCATAGAAATAGTTATAAAATTGTAATGGTCTCTCAAAATAAGTAGCATTTTATCATTCATCCATGCACAGGAATGTAGAAGCTTTCTAATAATTTTATATCGTTTATATGCAAAGCCTATATTTAAAGCCCATAATATAATATCAAAATCTTGTCTTTAAACACTGAGTGTTTTGCACCTTTTTTTCCAAAGGATAGATTGCTAAATAAAAAATGGGATTGCTCAATATAATAATTACTTTGAAAGTCTCAGAAATGTTATTTACTGAGTAAAATCGTTATCAAATAGTACATTGCTTTTAATATTTCACCTAATACATTTTTAGTTACTGTGGCTTTGTATGTGTGTGTAATTTACAGATACTGTTCCAGTCTACATGTTCTGGTCAGTGAATAAAATGAGGTTAACCGTAACTACACAACCAAACACATTAAACAACAAAGCCATCAGACCAGATAGACCACTGTTGGCAAACCGGAAGAGCAGCTTCCTGGCGAATCTTTTCTGCACCAAGTGCCGAAACAGGAGCACACATGCAGGGGAGCATTGGAAACCGGAAGAGCAGCTCTCCTGCGCGCATGCATGTAAGGCCACCTGGTCTTCCAGTTTCTGGCATGCATGCACATGCGAATACCAGCTAGCTGGCACTCACTGGAAGCCCAGCTTCCTGGCACACACATGCGCACCGGGGAGCTGCTTTTCCAGTTTCCGGCGCTCCCATGCGCGCTAAGACCAGCATCAGAACCCGAAAGAACAACGGGCGATAGCTGGCGTGCCCTGAGAGATGGCTCTGCATGCCGCATTACTGAGATAGACCATTGCCCACAATTCCTCATTTGGGAATGAGGAAACCCCATTGAAATTAAAAGGTTTTAAGTGCATTCTGAAAAGTCCAAAGGGTAGAAGACTTTTGATGAGTAGGTGGCCCCTGAACGGTTATTATGAAAAAGGCCTAGCCATACCCTTTTTGCTTCTCATGGAGATGGGGCCTTTTGTGAAGCTTGCCTACACTTCTGGACCAAATGGGAAAGTTCATCCTTTAATTCCACACAGACACTTTTCCACCTCTAGGAACATTAAACATCTTTTCCTCTTAACATTTTTTCATAACCTAATTAAATTTTCATTGATGAATAGTACTGGTGAGTTTTATCCCCTAGAAATTATACATACTGCATTTTGATTTGTTCCCTGGTAATCTTTTCATTTTGTATCAAGGAACCGATCAGAGGTTACCGTTTCGAGATATTACATCTTTTATCATCAACTGTGTAGAGTAATATTTCCAGAAGATAGTACGACTGTAAGGGCAGTCTCCCTTCACAATTTTATTAATTTATTTTCCAGTAATGTCACTTCTACTTTTAAATTCTGAGTAGTGGAATATCACAGCTATTGTGAGAAGGATTTTTTTCTCTCTCTCTTTAAATGGAGATTAATTTTAAAGCAGCCCCACATACATCTCCAAGAAGGCAAATGTCTTTTCCCACCCCTTGTTTTCCCCATCTGACTTTGGAGTGGAAAGTGTATGCTCTCAGGGAAGATAGGGATATATCGAAGTGGAAATTAGAGTGTAGTCACTTCTAGCTAAGCTATTTATTATTTGCTTGCGACTTGATGGGTAATGCTGTTTCCAGTAATAGATAACCTTTTTTAAAAATGCAAATATTTGTTAGAAATGTGTTTCTAAAACTAAGCCAAGTTGCAGGGCAAAATAAAGCTTTTGTATTAGGAAAAAACACCTTCATTTTCCATTTTTTCCTCAGATTTGAGCTTAATGCAAGTATAATGTTTGAATATTACAGCCCAATCCAATCCATCTCTCTACTGAGAAATCCCATTGAGACCAATTTAATCTCCATTTGTATTTAGTTTTTGTATATTTGGAGGATTTAAAAATAATAATATTGTGCAATTGCTGAAAATCCTCTTTTTAAAGTGTCACTTTCCTTTTACTCCAGGTTCAGTCAAAGAAAGAGGAATCTTTAACACCATCTCTGAGCCAAACCATTCCAACATTTTATTTTCCTCAAGGTCATCCAAAAGAAAAAGTCAATATTGATGCTATTATTGCAAAGATAGACAGGACTTTCTCCCAGTTTCCCAATGAGCGAGCTACATTAGAAGATATGGGCAAAGTTGCAAAGGTAAGTGGTGAGATGTTTTCTTTTTTTGCCTACAAGACACAAAGGGACAATTAAGAACCTTATTTGCATTGAAATGTTGTCTAATTCAGACCTATGTGGTTTTATTTAACAGTTACTTAACACATTTAGTACATTGCAGCATAGCCAACTTAATTTTATTTCATTTTGCTTTTTCTGGTAGGAATAAGATAGACTATTGAACTCAACCAAATCAAATCAAAAGGGATATAATATAACATAATAAACCAATGCTTTTATATTAATATTACTCAAAAAATGAGCCCTTTTTCTTTTGGGGGAGGTAGTTCATACATGGCACTCCTTCTCCCCTCCCCATGTATTATCAAACAAATACATTTTAGAAGGGAGCAGCTCTCTTTGCATAGAGCAGATACTTAGAGTTAATGCTCTTCAGTGGGCACCAAAAAACTGACTTTGAAATCTTTTTGATTTCATTATTTTAAATCTCAACTATGCAAAAATGTAGAAGTTTTGACATTTTTCTGTACTTCTTGCAGGGATGTGAAATATAGCAACATGAAAAATGATTCTGAATTATTTATCTGTTTATTTGTATCCTGCCTTTATTATTTTTACAAATAATTCATGGTGACAAACATCCAAAACACCTTCCTATTTTCCCCACAACAATAAAAACAATTCTGTGAGATGAATTGATCTAGGAGTGATTGTCCCAAAGTCACTCATCCAGCTTTCATGCCTAAGGCAGAATTAGAACTCGTGATCTTCAGTTTTCTAGCCTGTTTCCTTAACCACTAGGCCACTGTAAAACAAATAAGACCAAATTAGAATCCAAACTATTAGTCTTTATAATGTATCATCTGCAGAGCTTTGGGAAGGAAAAGAGCCTGACATTTGTATTGTGCATGGTGTAATACCTATTTGTGCACTTTTGTTCAGTGCATGGTGCACTTCTCATTGGTTCTCTGGACAAGACAATTTTTTAAATCATTCAATATTTTCTGAGCATGCTGGTTTGCCTGGAGAAATATGATGTAAATATTAAAATAAGGAGAAATTAGAATCATCATTCCATTTCCCAGCATTTACAAAACTCTTGCCATACTTAATAATAGGCCCTTAAGGTCTGCAGGAATAAATGTCAGTTGTTACTTTTTAATGATACCTCTTAATTCTAGGCCTGTGATTGCCCCCTTTACTGGAAAGGTCCATTATTTTATTGTGCTGGAGGAGAACGCACAGGATTTGTATCGGTTCATAAGTTTGTTGCTATGTGGCGAAAGTAAGTATGCATTTCCTGTAAGGTTACTTAACTTGTTTTAAATATTACTTGGAGATTTGTTTTAAGGAAAATCTGGTTATTATTTTAATGAAAAAGACAGTTGAGAAATAGTTTTTAACATTTTCATCCGTCCCCTTCCTAAGAAGACCCATTTTGGATCTGACTAAGTTCTATTAGAATTGATTCTTTAAATTGTTTTGAAATATTTTTTTAAAAAGGCAAAATGAATGATAGATGATGGAAGTTGGGAAGGGAGAGACATTGCTGAATTTAACTTACTTAACTTTAAGTGTGTCATGTTCCTAAACTCTATGATGACAGTACAGGACAGTTGAAAGAATTTGAGGTTGAGGATTCTGCTGGCCCCTAGGCTGAACATTTGTTCTTCTTTAAACTTGCTTAATTTTGAAGTGGGGTGAGGGCAATTTTAAGAGAGAATGAATAGAAACATAAGGTGAATTATCTTTGAAATGTGAAGTGACAAGATAATTTGACTTACCCTTTTAGGGTTTTTTTCCTCTCTTCAATGGACTTTTACTTTCAAAGAGCCCATGCCTGTATTCTTGGTGGTGCAGGATCAAGACTGCACATTTTATATATAATGCACACTGACAATTTAATATAGCACAGTCAGATAATTGTATATAAATTCAGATAATGAACAAGGCAATACCTTTTGCCATAGTGGAAATACATATGAGATTTTTCTTTTTTCATCTCAGTGCTGTTATGTTACGCATGGTTGATCATTATATATGAAAACAGAAGTTGGAAAAGGGAAGCCATTAGTCTGCAATAACTTTGTAAGGCCAATTTGAAAAGAGACATCCATCTAGTCATCTTTCTTCTTCCAAACTTTTCATAGTGTTTGTTTAAAAAGGGCCACATACCTGATTTATTTCAAAGGAATTGATGTTCCATGTGGCCCAACACAAATGTTATTCATACTTGTGAATATATCTTAAGATTGAAAAAATAAGATGTATAAATTTTCTATATCTGCATAAATTAGACAAATTATGCTTTGCAGAATATTACAGACCTGTCATGATGCTGCAGCCAAGTTTGTTCACCTTCTAAAGAGTCCTGGATATAATTATCTGGTACAAGAAGACTTCATTCCGTTTTTACAAGTAAATTCATTTTTGTTTTCATTATTACCACAGAAATACACACCTAATCACCCATTTTCCCAGAACCATTAGTTGATTCAGTGATGTTTCATTATTACGTAAGAAGTCAGAAATGGCTAAATTTAATCTACCAAGTCCTTGACATGCTAGCTGATGGATAGAAACTCATTAGGTTACTAGAGAAATATGAAAACAAGAGAATTCTGTTCTGTAATCTTTCTGGCTCAGCAGACAGGTGGAGGCGGGAGGGGGAGAGTTTTGTGCATGCGCCCTGCTTTCACAAATGCAGCTTCATACAGGAGCGCTTTCATCCACCATTTCTGCGACCCAGTTCCAAACGGGCCCAGGCCATGGACCAGGGTTTGAGGACCCCTGCTCTAAACTGCTTTCTGAGTCTTCTCTGTGCCTTTTGATTCCTAAGCTAAATTGTAGATTTGCCTTTCTCTTCCCATTAGATCTTCCAATCCTAATATGTTCCTGATTCATTTCTTTGCATTTTTTATCTCTTGATACTGAATTCTTTTTCTAAAGGAATTTTTCATGCATTTTAATATTTTTATTTAAAAATAAAACTTAATAGTTATATTATCTTGAAACAATTTGAATATTTTGCTGATGATGTTATAACTGTACCCCCTATATGGCATGATGATTTGGCAGAATTAAATTGTTTCATTAAGTAGTATTTCATGAAATTCTGAACTGATGCCTCTTTCATCCTTCATACTTAGGATGTGGTCAATAGTCACCCTAGTCTAGTCTTCTTAAAAGAAGCATCAGAATTTCATTCTCGGTACATTACAACGGTAAGTGTCTTCTGTATAGAAAATATTTTTCATGTGGACCATCTAGATGCGATAGCTATTGATCTGTTGAGGAGAAAAGCTATTCCATTAATTAATTATTCTTATAGTTAGGAAATTTGTTCTTAGTTCCAGATTGGATCTCTTTTTTAAGAAGCTTCCACCCATTGCTTCTTGCCCTGCCCTCAGTTGCTTTGGAGAATAAGTCAACTGTCACCTCCCTGTGACAGCCCCAGTTACCATTAGACAGGCATCATGTCACCCCTAATCTTTCTCTTTATTAAGCCAAACAAGCCCAGTTCCCTTAAAAGTTCATCAGACGTTTAGTCTTACATTTTCAAGTATGGCCATAGTTTGATAGATGCTGCTGTTTTAAATAGTTTGGAATAATTTATAAAGGAGTCAGTAATTATGTTTTATTTGATTCTAGATGGAAAGGATATAATCTGGAAAAAAATACAAATATTAATACTCTGAATTGATTTAGTCCTCCTAATTGATAAATTCTAAATATATGTACCCAAAAATATGTATGAATAAACCGGCAAATTAGTGTAATATTTAAGCACTTGGATAGTACTGTCTATGATAGATATAATAGTCACACCCTATATTTTCTTGTAGGTAATACAAAGGATATTTTATACAGTAAACAGGTCGTGGTCAGGAAGAATCACTTGTAATGAACTCAGAAAAAGCAACTTTTTACAGGTATGGCATGCAGTTTTGTAATAAAATAAATTTTACTGATTAACTGTTCAGGTGGACCATAAAAATTCTTTATAGTTTATTTCTGTTCAGAAATGAACTTAGGAAATTTTACATTTCGGATGGCTTTACTTGATCTTAACTTGGCTTAATGGAAACCAACATTACCTTCTGCCATACTTTTGCAAATTCAGTAACAATAACTTAAAAAGTTTCTCTACATATTTTAATCAGTATAAAATTTATCTCAAGTTTTGATGCTGGTTGGTTAAGGCATCCTAGGAAGTGATGTGTGACTGGGTACAAGCAGAGATCAATTCATTCTTTAGTGAAGGCTTGATTCTCCCTTCACTTAAGGGGGGGCTGGTCTGCACGTTCCTCGGGAAAATATTACTGATCCCAACAATGTCATAGGATTTCTGACCAGGTCCAGCATTTCCTGCCTGGGGAATATTGTTGAGAAAGTAGTCAAGCTGCAGCTTTATATGGTTTTGGAGGAAATAAAAGTAGTTGGATCCTTTCCAGTCAAGATTATCAGAGTGGTATACAATCAATTTCATGTCTTGGCACAGAACCAAGAAGGCATTGATTGCACTTGTGAATGTCTTAGGATAGAACAGAAAAGGTCTATCTATCCTACTCTGTCTTGATTGATCCATGACCTTTAGTGCTGTTGATTATCTTTCTGCAATGGTTCAGGGGATTTGAAGTAGGGGCCTCATTGTTGCATGGTACTTTCCTCTGGGGCCCATTGGTGGAGTAAAAAGTAGCCCTTGATTTTACTATACAGAGGGCCTTAGGCCTGATTTCTCCCTACTTCGGTCTAAACATCTATATGAAGACACTTGGTGAGGTCACCTATAAGTATATATCACAACTCTTGGACAGCCAAATTATGCCACTGTAGTTTTGTCTCTGGGAAGCTGTGGAATCTGCACGCAAAAAAAAAACAAAAACCAGGCCAATTCTAGCAAGATTAATGGCTGTGGATTTGGGAGCTGCCTGGATCTGGGGATGCATTTATTCATTCATTCCACTGATTTATATGGATACCCATCTAACAATTGCAACTCTGGGCAGCGTAGGCTTTAAACAAGTAAAACCAAAATAATAAATAGCAGTAATTGACCATCCTTATTTCTAGGTAGTGTCACACTGTCCACACAAACTTAGTGCACAATATGAGGGTCCTCCTAGATTGACAGCTTGTGTTTAAAGGACAGGTGCTGTTGTGATTTGAAGGACCTTTGTACAGATCTACCTTGCATTACCAACTGTCCCATTATTAAATCAGAAGGCCCCACTCATGGTCACTCATGACTCTGAATTACTGCAGTGTGCACTACATAAAGCTGTCTTTGAAGATCACTCTGAAACTGTAGGTGGTGAGGGTACATCACGGGTTGTTATGGGCAACCTCTGTATGACAGTATAACACTGCACAGGTTGCCAGTAACCTTCCAAGTTAATTCAGATAGCTGGTCATCAATCATAAGACCCTTTATAGGAGAGGGCCTGGTTATTTGTCTAGTTTCCTCTGTCCATCTGATAGGTTTCACATGCTTTGGGTCCTGTCCCTTAAGCAATGCCATCTGTTTGGATCCAAGAGATGTGGCTTATTTGCCACTATTTGTCACCTGCTCCACTGAACAGTGTTCCCCATGATGGTTCTGATGCTGCCGACCTCCTGAAAGACTTTGAAGACCTGTCTTGAGGTTTTATGAGTCCATCTTGATTTATGGTTTCTGTTGTTTGAGTTGCTCTGACCACGGTGTGCACTATTATATTTGATTCTTTTGCTTCTTGTTATTAGTCGCTTTTACTTGTCTATACCATCCTCGGTCATATGTTGAGTGACAATATTATTTTGATTGACTATGCATCAGTTGTTGATATGTATGTAAACTAGTTATTATAAATTGCCTGGTATTAAATTATTGGGATCTGGAGTAAATTCACAATGAGGTGAAGATATTGGAAATATCTTCAACCTGTATATAATCTATCCCAATCAATGAGTTTAATGCCTTAATTTTCTCAATGTTTCTCTCTCTCAATAGAATGTGGCATTGTTAGAAGACGAAGTAGATATTAACCAGCTGACAGAATACTTCTCTTATGAACATTTTTATGTAATTTATTGTAAATTTTGGGAGCTAGATACAGACCACGATCTTTACATCGACCAAAAGGATTTAGCTCGACATAACGACCATGGTATGATATGATATTAATTTAGTTCAAAATAAAATTGATGGATGATATGCATATTTTATTTATTTATTCAATTTCTGCAGCCTTCCAACTCAACCAGATGACCCTGGGTTGCTTACAATTCTAAAACTATAAAGCAATTTTAAAAATTTTAAAAATTAAAATTCAGAACGAATAAACATTTCTCAAAATATATAAAGACAAATAGCTGAGATGTCAGAACACAATTACATTTCTGATGTTCTTAGTGTTGAGAATTACTGTCAGTTTGGTAGTTTATTTTCTACTTTTCAGGAAGATGGCAATATTCTAAAATGTAGAAAGTAGAAATTAAAATCTAAAATTTATTCAGTACTGTTGCACATTATTACACTAAGGGAACTAAGATCAATTAATTATGAAAACTCCTTAATTTCACAACAAGTAGAGAGACTTAACTGTAGTTTCAGCTGGGAAAGTGTGAGCATCCCAAGCCAAGTTTAAAAATACTAGAGAATTCCTAGAAGTCTGGGCACTCTGATAAATCAGTCATTAACAGGCACATAGAGATAAACCATATCTACATATGATTCAAAAAAAGACAATCAAAAAGCCAAAAAGGAAACAAAAAAAGACCTAAACATTTACTCACCAGCAGTCAATACCCAGATGAGGAGAGATTAATACCAAAATTAACAATAGACCAACAATCAAGAAATAAATAATAATCCAATCAAGGAACTACTACGGTAACACAGACAAACAAGGTAACAGTAAACAGCAACCTAATGACGGAGCCACCAAGACCACTCCCACCAACACTGATAGGGCAAACCAGTAGTATATTATGTGTCTCTTTAAGAGCAACAATGTTTAAAAATGAATTAAAATGAATGCTGGTATTTTTCTTCTTAAGAAGGTCCAAAGATTAAGCTTTGTCCTTTCAAATTCTGCTTCTCAAAAAGTTATCTGTAGTATGGTAGCCATTTGTCTAGTATTAATGCTGAAATCTTGGTTAGTTTAAACACTTGCCCAGAAAACCATTGAGGAGCTATAAACAAAAAGGCTTTTTCTGTTTTTTGTTATTATGATGTCTATGCAGTTAAACCTTCAGACTAGCTAACACTAGAGGCTGAAATATCTTATTTAGCAGGAATGGCCAGTGTACCAGTGACTGGGGAAAAGTGCAGTTTCTTTCACATCGTTAGGTTTGCATTCTTCTGTTGTAAACTCCGCCTATGTTAGTGTTTGCAATTTGCAAATATTAATAGAATTTGCCATTTGGATTGTACACAAAATCCTTCAAATCCTAGCCAAGAATCCTTCAAATGGGGAAGGACCAGCTGAGCCAACATGCTATATATATGCACGTAACACCTACATGTTATATGTATACAGTATATGAAATAACTGTCTTTCTTTCCACAATGGGGATAAAGGCCGCATACCATTGGGATTTGAGGAGAGGAGAGGGTATTGAAAAGGGCCTTATTTGGGGGATGAGCATTGCAATAAGCTTTGTCTTGATTTTTCTTCAAGGTGATCTTTTCAGTGCTTAATGCCAAGAGTAAGGCAATACTTCCTGATTACAAATTCAGTAGAAGCAGGAAGTAAGTGCATGGTTAGTTTCATGTACTGTAGCAGAAAAGCAAGATGTATTTTAAAATTCAGATTTGCTAATGGGCACAGCAAAGTACATCCTTATCGCTATCCTTGTTGAATAAGAGAAATATAATTTTTTTTCCTAAGTAATTGCTGATGCTGTTTAAAATGGAGGGATTCACACAATTTAAAAAATATAAATGAATAACTTCAGACATAACCAAATTGAATGTTACTACTTTCCCTTTTTTACAGCTATATCTAATCGGATGATAGAGAGGATTTTCTCTGGAGCTGTAACAAGGTATGTATTTAAAAACTATACAGTATATATTTCCTAGCATGTAAATTATGTGGCAAAGTGTTCAATAATAAAAAGTCATTTTAGTGTAAACAATGCAAATAAATATATATAAATAAATTTAGCTTTCAAGTTAGCTAACAAATTTTTTTTATGAAGTCCACTACAAAACCACTAGTTATACTAGTGTAAAATAGATATTTTAAATTATTTTTTTAGCATTGTTTATGTGTAAAATATGTGGAAGTGAAATGTTGTTTACTACGTGCTCTGATTAAATTACCCCTCGCCACCAATTATGTAGAGTTGTGTATATGCTGTAAGTGAGCAATGCAAATTCCTGCTTGCAATCTGATATCATTAGCATTGAAATCTCAGTCCAAGCTTTGGCTTTTCAGTTGTGTAATATGATGGCATTTTTGACAGAAGGAGACAGCTTCTCATGTCATTTTATCCATATTTTGCAGTGATAAGAATTAGAACATTTTAATAAAAATATTTTCCTAGTAGAATATCAGAGGAACATGTAAAACCTTACAAAAACCTTACTTCACACAATATTATGTATTTATGCCCATTTTATACTGTCTTTCTGTCCATAGAACAGTCAAGGCAGCTTGTAGTCAAATATAAAACTAGTAAAATTAATGCCAGTATTTTTAATCCAAATCAAAATGTCTTAATCTCTTTCTGAATATGGAAAGTGAGGCCCATTTAATTGTAAATATGTGGCCAAAAATGGCTCATGATGATACACAAAGGGTAGTTGTGCAGATAAAATTAGAAAAAACACTATACAGTATATATTTTTGTCCTTGAAAGAAATGCAGGATACAAATTATTTTTAAGATACATACACACACACACACATATACATACACACACGCAGAGAGAACTCTGTATTCTAGTAAGTTTGAAAAGTGCAGAAGCTATTTGAAACTCTAAAATTTAGGTGCCGTATATATAACCACATATTATCTCCCCCCCCCCTTTTTTTAAAATATTAATTTCAAAGGGGCAAGAAGGCACAGAGAGAAGGAAAAATCAGTTATGCGGATTTTGTGTGGTTTTTGATATCAGAAGAAGACAAAAGGACTGCCACTAGGTAAGAAAAAAATGCTGTTCATGAGATTATGTTATGATGTTGTCAAAGCTAAGTCATCAAGATACTATCACAATATATTCATTATAACTGAAACTTAGTTTATAGAAAGCCAGTTTGGTACAGGTGGTCCTCTCTTACTGACTACTTGTTCAGTAACCATTCAAAGTTGCAACAGTGCCGAACAAGTTGCCCTTGAGGTTCCAGCCATTGTATCACTCTCACAGTCAAATGATCATCATTTGCAATCTTCTCTGTTGCAAACATGATATTCTTCCGATTAAAATCGGAATTCCGATTTTTTTGGGAATCGCCCCTCCCCTTCCCCCCCCCCTTCTCCTCCTTCCCTTCCCCTCGAAGGCCCCCTGAGTCAGGAGTTGCTACTGCCGGCGCGGCTCCAGTCCCATGTTGCCTCGGGAAGGGAAAGGCAAAAAGGAAGAGCCGCGGCGGCGCTTTGCAACGGCAGCAGCGGCACCGGAGGCTCAGGCGCAGCGGCTCCCGGTTTTGCCTTTCCCTTCCCGAGGTAACGCGGGACTGGAGCCGTGCGGAGCCGCGCCGGTGGTAGCAACTCCTGACAGCCACAGCCGGACACCTGAGCGGAGCCCGGGCGGTGCGAGCGGAGGCCGCTGAGCGGCAGGAAAAGGGAGCTGGGCAGCCACAGACCAGCCGTCTCTCCGTGCAACACGCCACCGCCCGGCCCTGGTGAGGGAAAGCAGCGGGCGCTCCCCAGGCGGCGGCCTCCGCCCCGCCACCAGGGAAGCGGCTGCCCAGCTCCGGAGCTGATCCACACCTGACCGGCTGGAAAGGAAGGGTGTGTAGCGTTGGTGTTGTGTGTGCGATTTCTTGGCGTGCAGCACGGGGTCTCTTTTGGCCGGCCCCGATTTTTTTTTCAGAGGGCAATATCATGCCTGCTGTTGGTCTCCTACAATCAATGGTGAAGCCAGCAGGGAAGGTTAAAAGTCACTCCAGTAAGTCCCTCTAGTCTGTGCTCACAGCGCCATACCATCCATCTCTGGCCTCCCTGTACCTGGCCTGCATTGGGCCTCTCCCTTAGCCTCACATTTCCTACAAGGGACTCCCCCTTAATTTTTACAACAGCAATCAGGACTGCCTTGATTGACATTGCTAAGCAGTGCAGTGATGTGACATCCCACTTTATGACTGCATTACTTAGTGATGACAGTCCTGATCCAAATTGCCATGGCATCATCAGGCTAGAAACCGAGGAGACCGCGAGTTCTAGTTCTACCACCTGAGTGATCTTGAGCCAGTTGCTCTTTCTCAATCCTAGGAAATAAGACAGTGGCAAACCACTTCCTACAAACCATGCCAAGACAACTGGAAGGACTAGTCAGGAACTAGCCTTGCACAAAAATACTAATTACCCAGCCATTGAAGAAAAAGAGCAAGAGGGAGCATATCAGATCTGTGGAATCAAGCATTCTTTTGAGTTTTATTTCATTTTACAGGCATCTAGGAGGGCGAGGTAGGAGAAATGCTTCTTGTATATTCAGAGAAAAAGTTCATATATAAGCACAGAGGTAGAGCATAGTGCCCAAAATAACCAAAACGTGGAACAAAAGGGCATCCAGGAAAAATGGACCCGTATAAGAAATTTCTAAGGATTTTATATTTTGGTGTTGCTAGTCTAAAAGCCTGGCGATATAGATGTCTTGAATTAATCATTCACAAATGGGTTTTGTGTTGCTCCTCAGAACACAACATATAAATGAACATAAAATAGATTGCTAAATTGTTTAATGATTTATTTCAGCATTGAATATTGGTTTCGGTGTATGGATCTTGATGGTGATGGCGTACTGTCCATGTATGAACTACAATACTTTTATGAAGAACAGTGTCAAAAACTGGATAATATGGCCATTGAACCTCTGCCATTTGAAGACTGCCTTTGCCAGATGCTGGATCTTGTGAAGCCAGAGAATGAAGGTGATGGATCTTTGTAGTATCTTTGTTAACCAGGTTAATACAACCATTCAGTGTTTGGCTTTAAATGTTCTTGTAAAGCCAAGTTTTGTTTATTGCATTTGGCAGGTAAAAAAGCCATCTGTTCATCTAACTTTCTGTTTTAACTTTCATTCAGTCTGAAAATTGAGTTGTGCATGAATCACAATCAGCCAAAAACTTGCTGATTGTGTTAAGATTTTCACTTTTATCTTGAGAATAAATATGGCTACTCTTGGTAAGAAGTTATAAAATTATTGTTTTGATTTACAGCTGATGAAATTCTTAAACCAGACCCGTTAAAGTCATCCTAACTGAGGGACTTACAATTTTAGGCAATCCTAATCTGTCATTAATTGTACCTGCTCAAGTATTAATTAAAAAACAAGCATTTAAATCTTAAATTTCACATGGGATATGCACCACAATCTAAAACATTTCATATTTTTTCTGTTTCCAGGAAAAATAACACTTCATGATTTAAAGAGATGTAGGATGGCAAACGTTTTCTTTGATACTTTCTTTAATATTGAGAAATATTTAGACCATGAGCAGAAGGATCAGTTTTCTGTGCTGAGGGTAAGGACAATTGGTGCCGAAAAGGATTTTGCCTATAAAGTCAGTCTCAGTGTTTTATCAATTTAGTGTTAAATGCCTTGTGATAATATTTTAGGGCACTGAAAATGAAAATCAAGACATGTCTGATTGGGAAAAATATGCGGCTGAAGAGTATGATGTCCTAGTAGCTGAAGAAGCAGCCAGCGACCAATGGAATGATTGGTAAAGTAGCATTTACACCATTATTGTTAGAAGATAATATTTGTAGATCAGGGTTAAACTGTGGGGTCCTTGGTGCTCTCTGAGCTTGATTGTTTTCTTACAAACATTTCATTGCCAAACTAGGTAATATCATCAGATTTATCATCACCAAAGAGTTTACATTCTTATCCTTCTAAATTAAATAAATAACAGTTAAATGATCCAATACTTTTGGAACTAAGAAAGTAGTATCTTGAATGCAGTAGCACAATACTTTTCTGACTCATTGTTGGTCATCGTTTATTGGTTCTAGTGTTTTCTGCCAAAATGCCTTGCTGCCAAACAAAATGCTAATTATACTTTTATAAAATAGTATTGTCAATTATTTCTACTACAGTCTAGAGTTCATTAAAGGTAGAAGTGAATAGAGATGAATGTTGCTGGAGTTGGTTTGCTTGTGCCCTCACTTAAATAGCTGTTACTGTATTATTTCTTCTTAACACAAGAGCCCCTTTGAGCTACGTCTCATGGGGATTAATCTGTCTGGGGAGAATCATCAGGACCAGCTGTCCTCCTCCTTTTGGGATTCTGATCGCATAAGCTATTAGCTAGTTTTGCTGAGGCTGAGATGAAGACATAAGTAGCAGCATCCTTTCTATAAAGGAATGCCAAATTGGCCTTTTTATTTAAAGCATCATTGCTATTCCAACATAAGCACAGTTACCTAATACTGGTGCTGTATTTTGTAGGAAAAGAGACTGGTTTTATTATGACAAAAATTATTTAAATACATATTTAAGGATACTTCCTTGAACAAAAGAAATCACTGAAAATACCTTCAACTTCTCTGGGATACATTCTAGGCAGTAGGATGGTGCAAATACACTCTAATATTACTCAGTGTTTTCTTAATGACACTGACTTCTTGGGAGTTGGATATACATACATGCAGATAAATTGCTTAGTAGTTAATCTGACATTATGAATTTTTTTTCTCCAGGAAGGACAACAGCCTTAATTTATGAGCAAAATCTGTGTGTCTGAAGGTTCTTTAAAAGCCATGCCTAACTATTTTGACACGTCATATATTTTAACTTGTGTTTTTTTAAAACAACTCAAACTCACGGCCCGCGGGCCAGATCTGTCACATGATGGCCCCGCCCCCTCCCAGTTTAGCAAAGGGGAAGAAAGTCCCGATATGTCATGTGACGACACCATGACGACACGAGTTTGACACCCCTTACGTAGAGTTAATAACTTCAAGCCTTTCAAGATAAAGTATGTGTTACTGGGGATACTAGTGATTTGTTGATGGACTCATTAAAAATCATTATTAAATAATTTGACAAACCATCCTGATGGAAAAGATTGTTAGAGAAATCCAATATATAGGAACTGGCTAGAGCTCTCAATCCCCTGCCCTTTCTGTGTTACAACAGGCTCCAGGAACAATTCTCAAGATACATAGGAGAAGGGATGCTTCATCTCCTCCTCTTTCACCGACAAGCAATTCTGTCAGCAGATTTAATTTATTACTTTTACCTTCTGTCAGCAGATTTAATTTGCTACTTTCAGTCCGACAGATGGTAACCAGTTGCCTCCAGGAAGTGCAAAAAGTGGACAATTTTTACCCATACAAAGTGATCACATACAATAAGGAATAGGGATATGTTACCTGAGGTCACACACTCAATTTCATCTAGGATTAAGTCTATAAATTGCAAGTGCTTCCTATACGTGGATTTAACTGACAGGGCAGAAACTTCCCCCTCCCCCGAATAGTGCAGCCTACTTCTGAATAAGTGGACATACACTTCCAAAGTAAAGTAAATTCCTATCTATATTTACTTTCCCCGCTATAACATAAACATGCATATTAAGGTGTGCAGTACTTGCTATTTAAAGGGTTCAGAAAGATGCTTCAAAGCATGCAAGGGCACTCATGCAACACCTGTTGACAATCCTTTAAAGCAGCTATGTCTTTTGAGGGGCTCTCACAGCTGCCTCCACAACTGCAGTTCAACCCTGGGAAAAATCATTTGGTTTAAGCAGCTGTCAAAAAATATTAAACGTGCACACTGCACACTCCAACACACATTTTTCCATTTGAATCCAAAGCACTATCCAACCCTTAATTCATAACGTCTTTAAAATTCCTTTAGGTAATAGTGCAGAGTAAGATTTGCCTGTTTCCGCCTCGTTATTCAGATTATAGAATATGATGTAATAAATACACAAGTTACTTTTACAAATATGTATACAGGAAGTCCTTGACAACCATTTAATTATAACAGAGGTGTAACATGACAGCCCTGGCAAAAATGTCTTACAACCTATTCTCACACTTAGGACTATTCTCACACCCTAATCCATGGTCACAGGATCAGAGTTTGGGCACTTGGTTACCACCTAACATTTATGCATTGTTACAGCATCGTATCGTTATATGATGACAACTTGGGACTTTTTTTGTCAATTGAGGGGGGGGGAAGCAGCCCATTGTGGAAACTGGATTCGCTTAACAACCAGAGTGATACATTTAATGACTGATATAAAATTATTGTAAAATAAGGTTCCATTCTACTTACAATCACAATAACATGTGATGTTAATTTTGGTCCCAATTGTACCTATAATTCAAGAACTGTCTGAAATTTGTTCCCATTTATTTTTCTTTTTAGTTATGAAGCTGAGCTTATTCCTGGTGATCACCAAAAGACCAACATACTAAAATATCAAATGGAGAAAAGACCTTTTTTTGATATGCCTTCCCATTTGGCAGATGTTGATTTGGATGATTATGACTATGAAGATGATTTTGAATAAACTATATTTGTAGAAGTATAAAGACTGTGTCTGCAGCAGGTCTGCTAAATCTGTGTAGAATTCTGTCCCCCCAAAAAAGAATAAAATTGAGTTTCTTGTGCTGCAAAATTAATACTTTTAAAATATCTAAATGGTTACATTTGTATGGAATGACACTTTTTATGTATTTATTCAATGGATTGTTGCCTAGGAAAAAATAAATTATTTATAGACTTTCTTTAAGGAATTACAGTGCATCTTGTATGAAGTAAAAGTACTGGCTTGTTTTTATACAAAATATTAAATTTTTTCTTGATTTCTATAATAATGTAAGTCCTTGCTCTTGCAGTCTCCAAGATAAAACTAACTTCGTCAAGATTCAAAGAGAAAAGTGTCATGATTGTGAATGGAGATCGCGGTTCAGAACTCAAGTAAAGCATCACTGGATAAGCTAGATAACACACTGGTACATGTAGCAAATTATATCTGGTACATGTAGCAAATTATATCCTGCCTGAAAACAGGCTATAATTTTTTACCTCTTAGCATTCATTTTGTTCTACTGACTCAATTTAAAAACTGGCTTTTATTGCTAACTTAACATTTGTGGATATTATATTCCATGTCAAGGGAATCAATTGCAAGTTTTACTTGATCTGTGATGTGCACTAACCTCGTATGGGCATTTAGTGTGTTTCTTCAGTTGGCTAATGACACATTCCATGAATATTGTTACCAACAGTGTCAAAAGTAGCTGGACAGTCTGATGCTTTATTTGCCTATATGAGGTGAGAGACTGCTTATAGGGCAAGATAGATATTGCTATTCTGATTTTTTTTTAAAAAAAAAGCATAACGTTTGTAGTGCCTTAATTATCCTTTGTTCACACAAGAAATGAAATATGGTAAAGCAAATTCTTGCTGTTAGGTTTTCCCAATAAACAAAAAGCTACCTTGTTTGCTGTGCAGATCTGTTAAATATTTAAAATATCATGTTCGTATTTTCAAATAAAGTTTTTTTCATACATGTAACTCAGCAATTTTTTTATTTTTTTATGCATCAGATCATCACAGAAGTTATTGAAAGTGACTTCCAATTTGAATACCAGAATCATTTTCATATAATCTTAGTAACTGTACAAGCTGTTCATACTTTGTGATCTATAGCATAGAGTGACTTCAGTTTGCCTTCCAGAGTTGGGGTTTATAGCTCCCAATAATTCCATATTCCTCAAACAAAGCTAAAATATCCATTTTCACAAATTCAAATATGATTCTGATAAAGCTATGTGGCACAGATAGTTTAGCTGTGAAACTACAAACCACCTTTTTATAGTTGAAGTTAATGGCAAATTAGTGCAATTTAATGAAGATTGACAGAATACACAATATTAGGGTGCCTGGGTTTTTTTTCTATATATGAGGGTTTTCTTTCAGAGCAGGTTTTGGGGTGATAGTATTCCTTTTGAATTGTTAAGTTTTCTTGTGATGATTCTGAATTACTAGATACAACTATTTAGAATTTAAGGTTAGCTGCAAGATGGCATTACAAAGCTGAAGGAACACCAGGAAAGATTTTTTTATAATAGATTTATAGCCTGCCTTTTCCTGCAAAATGACTCTTAAAGTACTATGATGTGTTTTTTGGCAACAGTATTCTGCCTATAATTACCCATTTCCTTCATGTAGACTATGATCAATGTTAAACATTTAGGATTGAACTGATTCCTTTGATATTCAGATTTTTAGTGTTTTGGCTACATACTGCTTGGATCGGATCCCAAGCTTATCAACTAAAGGAAAACATTAAGATTTGCAGTTTTTCGGGTATGGGTCTATCTGTCTTAATGGAGCAGCCCTCACAGCAAATCTACTGTCAAACAAATGATATATTTTGATGCTACTGGCTCTTTTTTGTTGTTCTTGTTAAATGTACAAACAGAAACACACTCCAGGAATGTAGGTCCCAAAAGTGTTGGAACAGTATAGATTTTAAATAATGAAAAACCGCAGTGTTAGATAATGAAAAAAAAAAAAAGCTTTGAACAAGGTAAACTTCCTGCTTTATGTTGCCCTTAAATAGTGCCAACAACAGGGGTAGGATTCTACAGGTTCGCACCTATTTGCTTGTTAACCAGTTGTTAACATTCTAAGCAGTTTGGAGAACCAGTTGTTAGAAGAAATTACTGGCCTAATCCCGTAAGGAAGGCAGGAAGGAAACATTCTGGTGTTGCTTACAGAAACCGCCTCTCCGTTAACCCTTATTACATTCTTGGCAGGACTAGACTTTCTGTCTCAGGAACTTCTCTGGAGTTTTTTCCCCTTCCTTTGCTGGTATTTTGCTTGTGTGGAGTGACCATTTAAAGTTACAATGGCACTGAAAAAAGTGACTTACGACTATTTTTCACACTTACAACTGTTGCAGCATCCCCACAATCATGAGGCGAGGAGATGTTTGACTCGATGTGAGTGATATTGAGTTGGCCACACCCAGTCAATAACATGACCACCAAGCCACGTCCACCCAGTCACATGACCACCAAGCCACGCCCACCACCTAAGCCATGCTCACAGAACCGGTTAAAAATGAATCCCACCCCTGGGTAAATTACAAACTTATTTCCTCTCATTCTCACTACTCAAAACATTACTTCTTGACAGAACATGTATGTTTCCAGAAAAAAAAAAAAAGTTGGAGCTAAGTGGTAGAACATCTGTTTTGCTAGTTGGCCAGTTCAGACACAACTGAGAAAGGATGTAATCTGAAATACTGAGAAGCTGTTGCCCACAACAGAGACCAGTGTTTATCAATTTTTATTTATCAATTTATTCCAGATGTGCAAAGTTCAACTCCCAGAATACTCCACAATATAAAATATTAAAAAAAACAATAGAGATACTGTGGGTTGAAATGCATACCGTATTTGCCGGCGTATAAGATGACTTTTTTCCCCTGAAAAACATGCCTCCAACTGGGGGGGTCGTCTTATACGACGGCAAATACGTTGTTGTCACTTGGTGCAAGAGCGACGGGGGCGGAGCTCCGCAACTTGCGAAGCCCCTTCAAGCCCAGCCGGAGTCTCTCTTTTGGCAAGTCTCGGGGTAGGAAGAGATAGCTGGAATTACCCTCCACACCACCCACCCACCCACACACACACACACACAGAGAGAGGGAGAGTTGGCAGCTGTCCATCCCCCACCCTTGGAGTCCCGATGGCGCGCACGCGGGGGCTGCTTAAGGGAGGAGGCCTTTCACTTTCCGGGGCGGGGAGGGGGCAGGCGCGTCACTCACTTGCAGGCAGCAGTGCGGCCTCTCCTTTCCCACCCATCCACTCCGCTCGTGCGAGCGGAACGGCAGGCTCCAGGCTTTGCCCCCATTCCCTCACCTCCTTCCACCCCCCTCCACCCCCCCCAGTGGCAGAAACTTCGCCGCACGTGGGGACGAGTAGAGGGGGTGGGAAAGCAGCGACGCCGCTCAAAGCTGAGAAAGCGCCATCCTTGCTTTTGCGCTTCGGGAAGAGTTCGTGTTTTTTGTTTTTCTCCCAGGAATGGGATGCTGCTCGTGCGATTTTCTTTGGGGAGTTTTCTCTTCCCGGTTTCAGCCTTTGCTCCGAATCCTCCCCCACCCCCCACCCCCAGATTCACTTCTGGAAAGGATGCTTGTGTAACTCTTTTCCTAAGTGTTGCTGGGGTGGAGGGGGGGGCAGTGTGCAGCGTGAGCGAGAGGCTCCTTTCCTTTCTCCCTGAGCGCAAAACCGTCTGCCTTCTTCTCTCTTGGACGGACAGAGCAAGGCTAATAAGATAATAATAAGATAATAAGATAAGATCCTAAGCGCGTTGTGGAAACAGATCTGGATCTTGTTGGAGAAAGGTAGCAAATGAATGAACTGGACTTTTGGCAAGTCTCGGGGTAGGAACTCGAGGCTTTCTGGAAAGTTAGTGAGCAGGAAAATAGACATCCTTTCCGCTTTCTCCCAGCGTGGGTATCTCATTACCCCTCCCTGTAAGAAGTAACAACCACAAAGCCAAGGGGAAAAAGGACCAGTTTCTTGTGCCTGATTAGTGGCGGCCTTTTGCACTCAGAACTCTCTCCTTTGCGCTCATCCACGGTCCAGCGACCGAGCCTCTCCGCGTGGAAATAAGGAGGCCTTCTCTCTCCCCCCAGCCCCCAACGGTGAGCTGCACATGCTCCAGACTGCTCCAGCCAGCTCGCCATCCGAGTGCAGCCAGAACGATGCGCAGGAAAAAGCCACAGTAGGAAGTAAAGATTTCTTCCCCCCACCCCACCCTCTCTCTCTGAAATAATTAATGTCGCAATCAGTGTGGTGCACCCTTGGAGACAAATTGGTTGGGGAGGTGGAAAGATATTAAGAAACAACTCGACTGGGTGTATAAGACGAGCCCCACGACTTTTTTGCCCTGAAAAACATGCCTCCAAGTGGGGGAGTCGTCTTATACGGCGAGTATATAACAAACTCTATATTTTGAGTGGAAATGTTGGGGGCTCGTCTTATACGCCCAGTCGTCTTATACGCCGGCAAATACGGTATATGCCAAAGCTTTAGGACAGGAAACACACAGAGCATAGGGTTTTGGATAGACAAGCTCTCTGCCTTGGTGTAAGACAGCTTTTTAGGATGCTTTTCTCAGTAGGCTCAATAGTTTCACGTGATTTATGAACAATGTGTTGTAATAAAATAGCGCATATTTTTAGGACCACTAGTCTGGAATATAAATTAAGCAACAAATATGCATACAAGACACATATATTGTTTTACCACTAATGCTTCCCATGAAAATTATTGTTGCATTCTATATTGCAATTTACCCATTTGGGAAAGATTACTGTGATATCCATGCCTATGTCCTTCCTAGTGCCATGATTTTCATTTTTCCCATTTAAGAAGAAAAAATGCTTTAAAAAGACAGACAGACAGAACAGATCTTTATTTTACAAACAGCTGAATTAAAAAAAATTAAACATGTTAGCAAAGTGAACATTTTGTGATACCTAAGGCAGCACACAAGAAGCAAAGTTTCTGTATTTTTTTCTGATTTACATTAATTTCTCTATTTTTGCTCTTTCTTTGAATCCTCTGGCTTGCTCTCTTGAAAACAGATTCTATCCTATTTAAAGTTCTTCTTTTCCATTTCGCCATAGAATACTGAGCTGCAGCTTCTAGATAGTCTAGAATTAAATTTTGGATGGAAAGTCAAGCGTGCTCACAAAAATTGTGTGTGAGCTGGTAACATCAGAAAGTATAGAAAATACTGGCTGAAGACGCTTCCATTTTATATAAATTTACCAGTCCATGTTTAGTTCTACCAATCAGGCATCCAAATAATTCTCACAAAAATAGTTCAAAATCCATTCTACCTTTCTGGTTGGCTTTTTTAAAAAAATTACATAAAAAGTAGAGGCATTTCCAGCAATCCTCCTCTTAGGTATCCTACACAATATAAAAATAAGACAATTAGGGAGAAAGATAATGTTTTAATAGACAAATTTATTAAATTATGCTTCCCCATAGCTTCTTACAGTTACTATAATCCACTGTAGATAAGATACTGTTCTGGGATGTATATACCTCTCCTATTTTATAAAACAATTTTAATTATTATTTAATCTGCACTCGCTAGATTACATGAAGTCCAAATGGCATATTTAATCTACATTTTCTTTTGACTAAAATTCCCTAGATTCAGTCCATTTTACTCTCACTAAAAAATTCCCTTGTTGAGGAAACCTACAGCTCCAGAGATTTACTCTTTTATGAAAATTTCCAAGGGAACATATTAGTCTGTAAATAAGAAAAAAAGGACACCCTGCCGCGGGAAAAGCACTAAACCCAAGCCATGCTCAGCTAGGGCAGAAGAATAACAGACGATGGGATATATCAACTATGGCCATTTCTTTTTTCATTTCCCTTCCATTGTTTCCAATGTCAGAATGGGTGGGATCAAGATAATAGGAAACTCTTAAATCCAGATAATTCAAAACCATCTCTAATATATCCGTTTGCACAC